TAGCAAAAAAGTTTAGTATCGTACTTTAGTAGTATTCATAAGTAAAATGATTGACGACCTTGACATATGTTGTCAAGGTCATCACACTGAGTAACCTTTAGAAAGTTTCAGTTATTAAATGGTTATTAAAAAGTTATTAAGGCAACAATAATACCATTTTCTTGAACTGTCTCTAACCAACTCTGAATGACCCTGTTTTCTTTAACTGTGTCTAACCAACTCTGAATGAGCAAGTGAGATACAAAAGATGCTCACATTAGGTGGAGCACCCTTTATATAACCTACAACTTTAACATTAAATATCTCATAAACTAATGACCATACGCGGCTGAAACAAATTTCATTGACTTCAGAATTCCAAGCTCTATCACTGTGCTAATCGTTTAAAAAATCAGCATTACATTAAAGAACTTCTCCTTGTGATCCTTTTCCTCTCGCGCCTCTATCCGCTCATCGACTCGACGGACGATTTTCTCCCCCGTCATTCCTCTCTGTTTCTCGTTTTTACTTTCTCTTTCAATTTTTCATCTCATCATCAATTCTTTCTCTCTCCACGGCTTCTCGTTTACCGTATCGTTCCCCTTTTTCCTTTATTCGTCGCTACCTCTACTTACTCCTTCAACGAGTCCCAATCGTTGCCCCCCCGCCCCATCCTCCTATACAAGCTCGCCGCCTGGCGGCCGGAAAGTCACTCTCTCAATCGGTTTCTCCTCTCTCCGTCCCCCTAGCGGCCACCTGTGCGCACGAAAATTGTGCTCGCAGCAGAGCAAGCAGGCAGTAGACACACACATCCTGATTACTAACTCACGAACGCCACGGCACGGACTACTTCCTCGCCAGCGTGTTCTGACACCAAATCCCATATTCTCCGAGCGGATCGAGGCCCGAGACGGGGACGACGAAGTGTGATTCTTACTGGCTCCGCGGGTCGCATAAAGGCTAGCGTCCACTTAACAGCACTAAAGGCTAGGGATGAACCGATCCAAATTGGGATAAACCGATACCGTCAAGGTATCGATACTTTTACTCGTAACTTGTGTCGAAAACGAGTATCGATAGATATACTTAGTATCGCGTCAAAAGTATCGATACCTACTTGTATCGAAGGAAAATGAATACAAAGTTCTATTTTTTCTTAATATGATATATTTTAACCAGAGTTGAGCAGAATTTTATACGTATAATATATAGAGAAAAGCTGTAGTGTCTATGGGCGTTATCCTGAGCTTTAAACAGGTAATGATATTAAATAATTGTTTGTCAAATGTCGACTCATTTAGGATAAAGTATTATTTTGTTATAAAAATTGGAATTTCCACGTTTATACGATTAAAAATGACGAAGTACTTTTTTATCTTTTATTCGTTATTCGAAATTCTTTATCTGGATAATGAATTTGCCCATCTCTGATTTTAACGAAGGTATATTTTATTAATAACCATTTATTAACATTTATTAACAATGTAATATAACTGGACGACAATCACCTTTACAGTCATTAGCTTTCATATCGATTACTCGCTCCATTCGGTAGATTAGATTTTTTTCGATACCAAGTATATATCGCAACCGAAAGTATCGACACTAAAAATGCTCGGTATCGAAATTTTTTTACTTGTAGTTAGGGATGAACTGATCCAAGTAGATACAAGTAAATAATCGATACTTTCCTTTCGATACCGAGTATTTTTAGTATTGATACTTTCGGTTAAGGTATGTACTTGGTATCGAAAAAAAGTACTATCGAGTGGAGCAAGTAATCGACATGAAACCTAATAAATGTGAAGGTGGTTGTCGTCCAGTTTTAGTACTTTGTTAGTAAATGTTCGTTAATAAAATATATCTTCGTTACAATCAGAGATAGGGAAATTCATTATCTAGATAAATATGTAGTTTCGAATAACGAAATAAATGATAAAAAAGTACTAGTCATTTTTAATCGTTAAAATAATACTACTTTCTGAACGAGTGGTCATTTGACGAACAATTATTTAATCTCATTAACTGTTTAAAGCTCAGGATGACGCACCTAGATGCTACAGCTTTTCACTACAAATATATTTATGGTAAAAATAAAGTAATAATAATTCGAATAAAATTCTGCTGCGTTCTGGTTAAAATATATTATGTATATTATTAAAAAAGAGCTTCGTATTCATTTTCCTTTGATACAAGTAGGTATCGATACTTTTGATACTTCTGATCGATACTTCTTTTCGGTATAAGTTATGAATAAAAATATCGATACCTTGACGGTATCGATTTCTCCTTATCAAACTGTCAAGTCACCGAGTAAATCATTTTTAGCAACATGACACAACACTCTATTTTTTTGTTGCAAAATCCATCAGAACTTTTACACTCATATCCAATATTTTTCTACAACTCAAAGAAAATGAATAATAATCTTAAAATAATTTTATTACCTGATCTTAATTTTTCATTTTAATTTAATTTCAAATTTCATTAGCTAAACGGGATTTAATAAACATATAATAATATTAACAATATTAATAATATTAGTATAAATAATATAATAATATTGATTTTTATTCAATCCCGTTTGAAATCGTCGTCACGAGTCGTCATGAGTCTCTAAGAATCGAAGAATGATTAAGAAAATCACCGTATTTTTTACTCTACTCGCGTGCAGAAACGCGAACAGGACAAGAGGCTTCGAACGACTGAACGGTGACGCGTTTTTATGGCCAAAATCGGTGACTATGAATTTGAATTTTCAGTGAGGGAATTCGGGGGCAATGGAGTCTCTTGCTCGATCGATGAATAATGAATGACATTCCTGAAGTGAATGACACGGCGAAGAATGCCAGCGTAAACCACATAGCGTGGAACGATTTACGCACATTAGCTTTTACCTTCCCCCTCTCTCTTCCACCGTTTCCCTACTTTTATATGTACTACCTTCTTCCGCCATCTTGTTTATTTTAACTCGTCTTTACTACAACTTGTAATGGGATTGAAATGAAAATTTTGTTAATACTACTGTATATTTTGTAACATTTATAATTTTTAATATTTCTAATTTTTTAATAAAATTTTGTTTCATGTAATAGAATTTCATGTTTACACCTATTACATACCTTCGATCTTTGATTCACGTTACCTGTAACACATCTGTTTCAACGCTCTTGTAAATATTTTTGTAAATATTTAAGAATCAATTGACATACTATAAAATAAGATACCATATTTAATAAATTGGTTAGAGGATGAAATAATTTGCACCTCTGATGGAGGACATATGTGCTTTTCCAGACAACATATTTTGTGACCTATTGTAGATTAATTAATAAGCAAATAAAAATTGTACATTAATAATAACAGATATTTGTACTGAATCATGGTAATTACAAATTGTCTTAAAATAAGAGAAGATTAAAAAAAATGATAACGGAAGTAATTTGTAACTCGACCTAATATACATATTAACAAATTTTAGGGTGAATCATTTTTGCCAGAGAATTGAACTAAAAGTAATTGTCTGTATCGATCAAATTATTTATTACATGTTTAATTATTATTGTTTGGAGATTGAATTTTACATTTGATTTGAATAATAATTATATATTTATAATATGGTAATTATACGTTTCATAATTTTATTAGTATACAATTATTATTACAAAAGTATTTGTGTAAAGATAAATACAAGACTGAGTATTACTTTTCGAACATATTTTGTGAATTTATCAATAGGAAAAGTTTCTAGGTATAGTATATCACCGTTTCCGCTATCTGTAGAAAGTCAAGAAGTCATTGATAACTATTTCAAAGTAACACATGCTTTGTACATAACATATCCAAATATTTTGGACGAAGACGGATCATATACTCGTCGTGCCAAGAGATACCAAAAAGTCTTTTGCTAATTTGCAATCTTCGTAAGCCTTCGATCTGTAAGTACGTCAAGTCCAGAGTTCAAGGCGCGTAATTCGAATTGCACGCCAGAAATTTAAACAGCGCGCGTCGGAAGTGAAACTTCAAACTTTCTAATATTCTAATCAATGAATTGATTTACAATTTCTTAAATATAACATATTGTAAATTAAACATTTTACTTCTCTCGATGACAAACATAAATAAATTTAATATTTTATTAGTCTTTAACTGTTCTACTTTTCAAAACCTTTTTTCGTTCTATGTAAATACTTGATCAAGTAATACATAATGCATAAAAGTATTGAACGTACACTACCATGAAATATTTTTAAGATAGAAATAGAAATATTGGAATAGTTGAAATAAATTAGTGCACAAGTTAATTATACTATAATGTAAATTACACTACTAAAAGTAAATAGTTAAAAAAAATAGAAATAATGTTTTTTCACTGGTATTTATACATATACATATATGTATACACAAGTATTATACCTTCACAATACTCTTAAAACAATTATTTCACCTTCATAAAACAATCGAAGTAATCGTTATTTTATTAAAAGTAATTTTTTATTTATACATAGTTAAGAATTGTAAATTTAAGTCCATCAATTGTTTTCATTATAGAATTGTTTACGGAACCAAGACCATATGTAGGGTCATATATAATAAAATAGACAGATAATAGAGTATATAAGCAGTAAAAACATTATAAAGCTCTAAACACACAACAAATCAGATCCTCTAATATATAATAAACTGTAAAACATTATCTTGAAGGTTAATGATCGATAATCGAAATTTTACTGTACAGAATTTGTTCTTGTTACAAGTATATGCTCGGCTATGTGAATATATTTGTGTACCACCACAGAATCGATGTTCGTAGATTATCTTTGTTAGTATGATCCACAGTGTACGTATAAATACACGTATAATTTCAGTGGATTGCAGAATACACCGGACCTTTCGATTTCTGAAACAACCAGTTGTGTCCGCGTCGTCGCCGCGACGGTACTGAAAGTGGGGTTGAGGTTACGTCGTTATGTTTGAACTTTCCTCGATTCTCCCTACCACAAATAATGTTGTGATGTTATTGGCGAAACAAGACAGTGCATAAAGTCCAAGGAGTTGCCTGCGACATTCCTGCACAGTTTGTAAAAAGTACGGTACGTTCGATTTTTTCCAACACGTATTTATTTATAATTGCTCAATAGTAGCCTTAATTAGGTTTAATTTGTTTTATGCACCTCGATTTATTTGTTTACTATTTTTTTTGTCTTTTTGTTCAATCCGTGAATATTGATAAAAAAAAAACAAATCACAGTCATAAATAATATCGACAGTATTTATATTTATTTATTGAAACTGTTATTAACACTTATTGTAAATTATTGATTTTCTTTTGCTGTAACAAACAATTAAAAACTTTCGGAAAATTAATTTGTTGGATGTAAATATTACGCGATCTTGTGTACACAAACTGAATTATTCTTTTTTTTTTATTAATTTAAGTGCTTGCAAATATTTGTTGTTGAAGGTTTCGAATGTATAAGAAAATTACACATCTAAAAGTTATTTAATTCATAGGGAAGAATGTTTTATTGCTGTTGAATTTTTTATGAGATTGTTACCTACTGCAATGTCACCTTCAGCACATTCAATGAAATTCACATATTTTATATATATCTTACAAAGTGTGGTATTTCATTTACATGGATCTTATTAATGTATTCAATGTTGGATCTTTATCAACTATCCTTAATCAGCGACTTACTATTAATACTAAGAAGTATCAAGTTTAGTTATCATTTTTATTTTAGATATACAAACATTGACTCATAAATCTATTATCGCTTTATTGTCTAAGAATTTAAAACCTCTTGTAACATCCACAGTTTATATTTATAATATAAACTAGAATAAAAAATAATGCAGCTTAATACTTTGTACCTTTACTTTTAATATTCCTCTTCGTTTATATTTATTGCTTTAAAATATGTAAGAGTTTGTTGGGTACATCTAGATATTTCAACTGGAAAAATTTAAGTTCTTTCGCTTTCAAATGTATGATCTCAGACGATTGTCACGGTATATGTTGACACCCATGCATCACATATATATTAAGAATGATGACAGAATCCTCACATGAACCATTATATTACCATAAATCACTGGTGCTTGTGGATAGGATTTTCTGTCAGTTTTGTTCCTTTTTCACAGATGTCATATGACAACTATGCAAAATGAACAAGGAAAATAGTACAAACAGAATGGAGTATTAAAGTTTCATTTAAAAACTTAGGTTTTTAAAAGAAAAGCAGAGAAAAAGCACACCTAAATATAGTTTGTCTGTAACAATTCATTGTAAAGTTAAAAAAGAATGATCTTAAGAAATCACATATTCCAATGAAAGTTATTTTTGACTTCAATTTGTTTAAATAAAGTAATATAGTTTTCCTTTATCCATTTTACTGTGCATTTCAACACACATTCAGAAAGATATACAAAGGGTATCAGTGATTAACAATTTAACAGATATTTTTATTGTCTTTCAATTCCACTTCAAAAACGTTTTAAGTAACCCACTTAAAAGTATATTGTCTTAGTCGTGTTCTAACAAAAATATACATAAATGAGATGTGTCATACCTACATTTTAATAATAAAGACATCTTTTTTTTCCAGGTCTTGTTCTAAGAAGAGATAATTTGCAAAAAACTGGGGTATTATCATCTTTACGTCATGGCTACTGTAGTAACAAATATCAGACTTACCCCTATGTTTCGCTCTGTTTGTGCAACTGCAATCAGAGCATTGTCTACCAATGCAATGCTGAATCCCAAAGATGATACAAAGGAAGTGATACTTAAATACTTGGATGGAAAGGACAATGGCATCGTAGTATTAGGACTAAATCGACCAGCCAGTCGTAATGCTTTTGGACGGACTTTGGTGAATCAGCTAAGTGAAGCTGTTTCCTGCATTAAAGAAGACACAAAGTTGCGAGTATTAATTATCCGCAGTTTGGTTCCGAAAATATTTTGTGCTGGTGCAGATTTGAGAGAAAGACTGAAGATGGATAATTCAGAAGCTTCGAAATTCGTATCTTCGTTACAAAACATTATGAACAACATAGAATCGCTGCCCACTCCTGTGATATCTGCCATAGATGGCATAGCATTGGGTGGAGGATTAGAGCTTGCGCTAGCTTCTGACATTAGAGTCGCCACATTGGAAGCTAAAATGGGCCTCGTAGAAACAAAATTGGCTATTATACCAGGGGCTGGTGGTACGCAACGACTTCCAAGGATAGTTGGACCCGCTAAGGCAAAGGAACTCATTTACACGGCACGTGTACTAGATGGCAAAGATGCTATGAAGATTGGTCTTCTGAATGAAGTTGTTCCGCAAAATAAAGATGGAGATGCTGCTTATCAGGCTGCTCTGTCTATTGCCAGGGAAATACTACCGAATGGACCAATTGGAGTAAAGTATGTGTCAAATGGAAAAGGCAACTATAATCCATACTTCAACAAGTTGTGTTAATATTCTGTTTTTATCGTATTTCAGAGTAGCGAAAGTAGCAATATCAAATGGCCTCGAAGTACCTATTGCTGATGGACTTGAAATTGAAAGACAATGTTACAGTCAGATTGTAGACACAAAAGATAGAATCGAAGGACTTACTGCATTTGTATCGAAACGTGTACCTGTTTATCAAGGCATGTAAATCTGTGAAATCGACATACAATGTCGATAATGCTTTGACAGTTAACAATATTGTGACGCTTAATTAAGATATTGACATGATGCATTTTTATATTGATGTTAACTAACAAATATGATGTCTATATTGTAAAACATAGTGATACAACTAACGTTAATATAAATACGATTACTAAAATTTAATTTTATTTACACCTATGCGAAAGCACGTGTAAATGAAAAGAAATTTTTATTTTGATTGATATTTTTAACGACTTTGTAACTTTTACCTGAAGGAAATCGCTCTACGTTGTTTCTATTTTACATGAAACATATTTTTTATATTCATGTTGTTATTGTTGAGATATATATTATATATGTACAGTTTATGTATATAATGTTGCGCGTGTGTTCATGAGGGAAGGGGGGGGGGTATATATATTTTGATCAGAATAAAATTATTATATTTTTAATACTGATTTCCATTTCACCTTTACCTACATACATCTAGTTCGTAATAAAATACTGATGAAAGGATTTCTATATTTATTATATACTTCTTCACATAACTTCAATAAAGCACCATCTAAACATTTTTTTAATATAACCGCACCGCTGTTAAAACCAGACTTCTTGTGCAACTAAATATCGATAAATGCAATTCTTTATTAAATCCTCGATTTAAGATATATTCGTAGAAACAGTAACGGTTTTTTTTTACAAAATTGTCGCTTGAAAAACCTGTGATTGCTTGCAAACTATTCATCTGACAATAATAAATTTGTAACATCAAAAATGGAATGCATAACAATACAACATCAAAAATAGGATATCCTATCGTGTGAAGGTTTCTTATATTTTTTTAAGTAAAACGCTTTACATGATAAACATTCGACGTATTACGCACATTGCATAGGTACAGTGAATTGTTCTTTCTCTTTGTTTTCTTTAATCAACGCCATGAGAACATTGAGTTGATTGACAGTATCTTCGGAGCATGTGACACGATGTCCGACAGTTAAGTCACTCTCATAAATTTCATGATCATTGCCACCTTCTGCTGTCTTGTCACCAAAGAAATGTATTTCATCGTATCCCTGAATGTGTCTAAGACAATATGTTTTATCCCAACCAATAGGAAATACATCAAACGATATCTGACCTCCTGTACACGCAAAGTAAAAAAAAATTCGTTTATAAGTTGCTGTTTCATTGAAAACATCGTTTTAGTCTAACAATCAACGTGTTAATACTTCTGTCGTGAAAGATTTTGAGCTTCATGTAATTGTTTAATATATAAGAAGAAACAGATATGATTTGGATTTATGTTGGGAATAAGCAGTATTTTAGGAAAACGATATTAATGTTCTGACTGTCACGAAAATGTTATTACAAGTTGAAAATGATATATCGTACCTGACATTGATAGTAGTGAAAAAAAGAGTTCATTAAAAGAATTTTTGGCTATCTCGTGTTTCTATTCTTTATAGCTCTTTTTTATAATTACCTTGTAACCATCTTTCTTTCAGTAAAATACTTTTTTGAAACAATGAATGAATTTAAAATAATCACTTTTGACGTAAAATTGCTCACGTCAGTGCGATCTAATATAGGTGTTAAATATTTTAGCCAGTCAAAGATACTGAAGAGTAAACCTTATTTCAGTAACTTTTCTGCAATTTTATCTCCTTATTTCACATTGAATTCATTTAATTTATTTGGTTGAATCATGAATAAGTTCAGTTTTTCTATTCGAAATTTAATTAAATTTAATTAATCCAATTTTTGTACTATTTCACTTCGTTTGAGTTGGATAGTTTTTTTTCTGCAGAAGCAACATTTTTGCTATATGAGGTGGAAGCTATTTATTACTCGACCCAATATTTCTTTTGAAACCAATAGAAACGAAACAGAGATATCCAAGCTGACGAAATTAACACTTCTAGAGAATTAGTGAAAATGGGTAAAATGTATAAATTCTACTATAAAATAGCTTCTTCTAATTCTAAACCAAAAGACTATACATACATGTAAATAAATTCGATACTCATTGTGTTAGTAAAAAAACAGAAGGTAGTTTCTGATGTCATTCACAGTCAAGGAAAAGCATAGACGGTCAAAATATTTGGCGTCAAATATAGCAATCCTAATTATTCTACTTAACACATTGCGGGCGTGAAATGTTCACCTCCACATTTTGGACATCAGTGGTTAACTGATACGTATTTAAATAATTTTACGAAATAGTTCATATTCCCGGGAACAATTTTTTAAACGAGTTTAACGTCCATAGCTCGCAAAGTTTTAATAATAATGAAGATACGCAGTAACAGATATAAATTTAGATATTATTTACCAATGCTGTATGTTAAAGCCAAGTTGGGGAATTCCTTCTTAAGAGCGTGAATAAATTTCTGACGAATTTGATTTTCAATGTCGTATTCATAAAACTGAATACGTTCTTCTGTAGAACAATTACGACCAACCGGTGATACATTTAACATTCCCGATCTGAATTCTATAAAAGTTCCTCTCTTAAATGGCAAATGCAATTCGGATATATACTTCAGGCAAAAGTTTATTAAGTCTTGTAGTGCATCTTCACCAATAACACTTTGAATCGTCTAAAACAAAAAATTTGGTTTGATAATAAATTCTACGAAACTTAGAGGGGTAGTATATTGATTTAATATATCCTTTTAGTTATATTTTTTACCTCGGTTGGTAATTGTTTGCCATCTTTAAATGCGATAAGTCCATTTTCTGCGAACACATACTTATACTTTTGAAATATACTTCCACCACCCAACTGCTCTTTCAGCTTGACTAAATCTGATCCTCCAACTACAGCTATATCGAATTCCTTACGAACCTTTTCTACTAGAAATTTTTCCACATTTGGCTTAATTGGCTGATAATAAAATCAATGAAAAAAATGTAATTACAAAAAAATAACTTTTTTAATTTACACCAAGTGAGTAGAAAACATCTGTCTGTTCTGAGTAATTAAAAGGGGATAACTAGTTAAAGTCAATGAAACAATTAATGTGGAATTGTATGTTCAACAATTTAAAATGGTTTCAGAAAAATAAAATATTCAGTAGTACATAATGGTTAATCAAAAAAGCATGACAGCTTTTCATTAAAACACTAGGCCCATTCTGTAATGATTATGTAAAACGCAATAACATAATTGAGTTGGATGACTTTACCACACCCATAATAAATTCTTAATCTTTATACATACAAAATATATGATTTTGAAGTTATTCAATTTCTGATCATATTAAACTACTATTCTGTATGAATATAGAAATAATGAATAAAAGTATTAAAAACAGTAGCTTATTACTCAAGACTGACAAAGATTATACTTGTCTAATATGTAATAAAATATACCTGTCTAGGATCAGTAAGCGTGCCATCAACATCGAACAAACATATTACCTTCTTGGACATAGTAAAATAGTTTTCAGTAATCACTTAATCTAAAACACAAATTTTCATTTTAAACTCGTAACGAAAACAATGATATATAATAAAATAAAATGAGTATACTCATGAAAAAAAAGTAATGCGCTTGGAAATTAATAAAAAGAACCTTTCCTTTTTTTATTTTCACTGTTAAAAAAAGACGGTGTAAAGTAAGCGAATAATGTACTTATAAGTAAGTCACGTGCATTTCCCATCATTTATATTAACAATCCCCCTCCATCTATAACGTCCCCATTCTTTCTGGCAGATTTTGAACGTTTCCCGAAATGTTTCCTTATGAATAAAATTAATATTTCTAGATCGACGAGTCGGAAGAAAATGCAATGTATCATAATTCATATTTTTGAAATGTGTCAGAATTATAAATTTCCTGTCGAAATCACCAATTCGGCGAATTCAAACACACATCACTCTAATGCCATCAATTTTAACCTGTATTGAAGATGCTCTCTAAATATATACTAAAAGAAGTAGCGTTATTTTTAATATTTTGTTGAATTCATAGTAATCTTCTTCCACTGATGTTGATTTTAAGTTTCATAAAGTTTTCGTGTTAAATGATTAAAAAAAATGTATTACGGGCAGTACTATAGTTGACTATAGTCAATACGTGGCCACTTTGACGTGTTCCTTACTGCGTCTTCCTCTATCTATTTGAACAACAATGTTGGAAAAGATCTGGTTGAATAAATTATATTGTCTTATCGTCCTTATCTTGTTTGAATTGCGCGACTTAAATGCAACTACCGCGACTCTTAAAAATGCCGTGTTGCTTTTGGGTAATGGCAAATTATTGTTTCCTTATTGGGAAATCTTACGAGTTTTGATCCAATCTTTTAAACATTTATCTGGGAAAAGTGTAAATTTCATTACATATTTTTTTGTATGGTATTGTTATAAAGTACATTATGTAGTGAGTGATTTCATTAAAAAAGTATGTGTAAATATACACAAGTAATTAATCATTTTAATATTTTTTACATTCGTTCTTATTTTTAAATAAATTTATAGATATACGTTTCATAGAAATCAGTTTCTTTCCTGAATCCGAACTTCTGTACTTATCAATAAATTTGATACCAGAAGATAGGTCTGGGTTAGGTGTAAATATACACAAGTAATTAATCATTTTAATATTTTTTACATTCGTTCTTATTTTTAAATAAATTTATAGATATACGTTTCATAGAAATCAGTTTCTTTCCTGAATCCGAACTTCTGTACTTATCAATAAATTTGATACCAGAAGATAGGTATCATTTATGTTTCTCAGAAAGAAATGTTTGCATACAGAATAACTGTTCAAATAAAATACTCTTACTAATATATTTTATTTTTATCTAAAGTATCCAGTGCTAGATGTGACTGTTCTATAAGTTTATTCTTGTCTACAAAAATATTTTTTCCTTTAGCTAAATTCATTTAATCCAGTAGGAAAATATTAAATGTGCTTTAATGATGATTAGTTTACAAATTCACGAGGTGTGACTATTTTTACATCTTACAGAATGTGTGAAAAGTTTGTCCAGTAAAATATGTTGTCTTACAAAATGATTAGATGTAAAATTTAACATTTATATGTAATTTAATTTTTTATGTAGCTGACGATGGAGGATTTGAAATGCGATCATACTTAAATAAAATTTGCCAGTCACCTAATTTAGATAATTTGGCAAAAGAAAGTTTATTATTTAATAATGCTTACTCGTCAGTTAGCAGTTGTTCACCCAGGTATAATTTTTGTAACTCCATAAGAATATGTTCTCTTATTCTTGAGAAATAATTTCTTTAATAATCAACGTCAAAACTGATAATAATTATTTCAAAATTTTAGCCGCTCTTCTTTACTCACTGGGTTACCAAGTCACCAAAATGGAATGTATGGTCTCCATCATGGAATACATCACTTTAATTCCTTTGAAAAAGTTCAAAGTTTACCAACAATATTAAAGAAAAAAAATATACGAACAGGTATATTTAAATTGAATATTAGGTGCACTAACGAGTAACTACTAACTTCATAATGAAGTGACACATATAGTTTGAATTGAATATATCTTCCGGATCTCCATGTTGGGGATATTATTCGATTTAGTCATGAAACTTCTACAAAAATTTAATATGTCAATTTTTACATAATTATTCAACTAGATTTCCATGTGTTTTTTGCATAACCAGATAATTGTATCCAAATTTTTTGCAACAATAGTATATTATTTATTTAGTTACCCACCAACAACTTTGAAAACTTACTAATAGCATTTAACATATTTTCCAGGTATCATTGGTAAAAAGCATGTAGGCCCAGACAGTGTATATCCATTTGACTTTTCACAAACAGAAGAAAATAATTCGATCCTTCAAGTTGGTCGTAATATTACTAAAATTAAACTTTTAGTCAGGGAATTCCTCTCCCATAATAGAACACAGTATGAATTCATTATACATTAAATTATTCTTTTGCTATTATTAAAAAGTTTTTATCCAAATATATTAAAATCCGTGACAAATTTATTGCCATAAAATAATTGATTGAATAGGAAATACAAGTAATACTACATTTTTAGGCCCTTCTTTTTATACGTTGCATTTCACGATCCTCATCGATGCGGACACAGTCATCCAGAATATGGAAACTTCTGCGAAAAATTTGGTAACGGTGATGTCGGTATGGGTACTATTCTTGACTGGCATCCGATATATTATCAGTGGGATCAAGTGAAAGTTCCTTATTTCGTTCAAAATACAGAAGCCGCCAGACGAGATATCGCTGCTCAATACACAACTATTTCTCGTTTAGATCAAGGTACGCATGCAGACTAATATTTCGTAATTTATATTAATTTAATTCAATGCAATTTCGTTTAATCAACATTTATTAATAACATGATAAATAACGTACCATCAATCAACAGTATAAAATATTATCTAAATATAATGTTCGAGGAATTAATGGCAGAATCTTGACATTTCGAAGGTGTGGGTTTAGTTCTGAAGGAACTCGAAGATGCCGGTTTCAAAGACAACACGTTAGTAATCTACACCTCAGATAATGGTATACCATTTCCAAATGGACGAACAAATCTGTATGAACCAGGTATTATCAAATACAGTCTGAATATTGGAAGGAAAAGTTCTCTTAAATAAGATTTAATACCTGGTACATACAAATAATGAATCTTTTTATGTCAGGTTTGGCAGAACCAATGATGATTAGATCACCAATCCCCGAACATAGAAAAAATAGTGTAACCTACAGCTTAACATCTTTACTGGACATTGTACCAACGTTATTGGACTGGTTTAACATACCCTATACGAATGAACCTTCATCTGATACAAATGAAGTTTCCTCTCCACAACTAACAGGAAAATCACTTCTTCCACTTCTTAATCAAGGTAACTTGAAAAGTTAAAATATTCTGTATTCGTTATTAAAACAATTCCTAACATTATTTTATTGTGCATTTGTACACGCAGAGCCTGTTGAAAACAACACTGCTATTTTCGCCAGTCAGACACATCATGAAGTCACCATGTACTACCCCATGCGTGCTATTAGAACTAAAAGATATAAACTAATACATAATATTAATTACAAAATGCCATTTCCTATTGACCAGGATTTCTTTGTGTCACCGACTTTCCAGGTAACCTATAAAAAAAAACGAATTTGTAAATATTAGAAAGATATTTTTTTATTTTTAATTATAAAAAATATATTTTTTTTTAGAATATACGATCAAAAACCTATTTTACTGTTTTTAATCTTATTTTTAGTGTTTGCTTTTAGCTTATTTTGCTTCGTTAAAATTTTGTTACAGTATATTCTAATTACTAATTTCTTTTTCTTTTTAAGGATATTTTAAATAGAACCAGGACCAATCAACCACTTAAATGGTACAAAACATTAAAAAGTTATTATGAAAGACCAGAATGGGAGTTATATGACCTAAAATATGATCCGGAAGAAATGAATAATATTGTTTCTAAGCCATCTGTAAAGGTAGATATGAAGAGAATTATGGCGTTCTTTTTGATTAAATTAAGATGAATTTTGGAATATTAAATAACATCTGAACTATGGGCTTTTGTAGGAAATATTTACCGATCTATACGAACGGTTATTAAAATGGCAAGAAACAACAGAAGATCCATGGCTTTGTGCACCAAAAGGTGTTCAGACTAGTCGTAACACTAAAAACCCTCAATGTATGTCACTTCAAAACTTTCTTTAAGAACAAATTAGTCCCTGAAAGTTTGTTACTACTCAGAGAATTATACAGTACTCATTTATATACGTCCAATAATTATAATTTGTTTAACATACGTAAATATGTCTAATGAATTTCTATTTTAATATATCTCTTTTTACTTATTTTGTGATATAAAAGGGATTTCAGGGTACAAGATATCATAACTACTTAAGCAAAATAATTAATAGAATAATTTTTTATAATATATACTTCATAAATAAAGATTTTTACTACAAACTAGAAATGTTTCCTTCATATGTTACTAATTTGTATCCATAAATTTAGGTATTCCAAAGTACTTTTTTCGAATACAAATTAAAAGAGTGATTAATGGTTAAGTTGAAATTACCTTGTCTTCTTGGGAAAAGCTATGACTATAATTATATTATTAATAAACATGTGAACATACATGTTCTTGAATGTAACAACGCATACAACTTTATACAGGGTGTTCGCGCTAACACTGTACAGTCCGTTATTTCTTAAATTATTTGAAATATGAGAAAATTGTTTAAATAAAATTAAACGGCACGAGGGGGCTAACTAACAGGCTATGACGAATTTTTTTTAACATTATTATTTTAAGAGATATAAAGGTCAAGTTTGGTTTTTTAAATGGAATTATATATTTTTTTTAGATCACTTGATAGTACAATTCAAGAATTCAATAACCTTTAATGTATACACCCTTTTTCAAGTACTTTTCGAGATATTGCCCTTACAAGTTTATTGATTTCCAATGGAAGAAAACCCGCTCGAGTAGGAAGTACCAGAGGTGGTCTGGTTAGCGCCTCAAGTGCCACATAAGTCATTAAATTTGTAAGCGCAATATCTCGAAACTATTCATGATTTAGAACAAGGTTGCATTGAACCCCGACTTAGTCTAAATATATTTTGCACTGTAGTGCCAAGTTAATTTTCATCAACTGATTTTCTACTATTGCTCAATGGAAAATTGTGTTCCACTAGTAACTTTATGTCTTTATTACAATTACTGATACAGTGTCTACTAGAACCTTATGATACATCAAGACACATGTTCTAGAATAACTGAAATATCTAAGACAATAATCCATCTTAACATGTTTGTCTCACTGATATCTATAAGCTACTCTCTGTCTCAAAATTATGCTATTAATTTGAATGACATCACAGAACATTTTTTCTTTCATTTAAGTTCTATCTTTTAAACCACTTCAATGTACATCTGGGACACCCTATGTAGATACCCAAACCCTGGTCCATCAATTTTAGGATATCTTTGTTATTACGAAAAATCCTTTATACGCACGAAATTATTATCATAATAGATCGATGTAAATATTCAATGAATTTAATCGTTTTTCCTTAATGTACGTACCACAAAAGTTTATAATGGAAGAACAGCACGCGGTATGGAAATGTTTTTTACATCTCTTTCACGATGTTTCAAAAGAATCTCGTTCAACTGGTGAACGTAAGTCGAGGATTTATTCGCAGACTTTTCAACCGCTTTCAATTCCGTCGAGATTTCATTCATCTAAAGAGCGGACGCATCGATTAACAGTAACCAGCAATTAACAAGTATGTAACTATTTTTACGTTGGGTATTTTAATGGACCCTTACGTATTCTTTGTATCCCAAGTATCTGTTATACTTTTGATTGTTATTATAAATCTGTTTAACTTGTATCATAAAGACAAGGCACAGCAGAAGACCACCGAGTAGCACGAGGAGATTTGTATTTTGAAAACCACGTAAAACAAGCATCACTTGCGTTGAGGTTATGTTTACGATTTGAAAACTACGTCACCGGAAAAACCGTCGCGAAAATTGTATAAAAAAATATTGTATATTTACATGTGTTCATATAAAAGAGTAGGAACTTAATAGTATGTTAGTTTCACGAATCACACTACTGAACGACTACTCTCATCGAATAATTATGTTCCAACTATAACGGTAAAAGTTTTTGTTCATTCAAAATGTCAAACAGGTTAGGTAAGTGTATCGAGGTGACTGTTGTTTTTGATAGATGTCGCCACTACACTGTTGTTTGTAACAGAATTTTCATTCAAATTGATTCTTGAAACTGACTGCAAATTATTTAACTGCTTTTAAATAATAACTAGTATTTGAGAACGTGTTATAATTTTTATAGGTCATAATTTATACAAGGTCTAGACTTTTCGATAGTAACTAAGAGAATGTTATAACGCATATCTCATGACAGAAACAATCCTATCACGCACCAGTGCTTTTACATGTGTAAATATATTTCTCATTATGTATATCTTGCGAGTAATTAAACAATAAATTGATTATATTAATGTTAGGCTAAGTAACTCTTTGAATTAAGTAAAATATGAAAGTACTCCTTTCTTGAAAATTAGTATTAATACTTGAATTCAAAGCATATCTCAAAAGAATTCTTCCTTGATCTTAAAACAAATCTCGAAATCGCGATCATATTTACGGTTAGAAACAATAAAAACACAATAAAATAGAAATGTATAATGAAATGTCATTTATTACAAAAATTTCGACCAATTTCTTGTCAAATTGCGTCTGAAGGAGGCTAAATAATTAAATCACAAATAAACAATTATTGACTCGCGTTGTGTCGCAAAAGATTGCAAATTGAACCAGAAACGCATAATTACTAATTGACACTGAGTGGAGAACGGAAGTCGCAAGAACCACTTCATTTTGTCTCGCGGTATCGAATTATTTTAAGATTAAATAAATTGGATAAATATTTAAAAAAAAACTAAAGACAGAAAGCTAACGACGGCACTAATAGCTAGTACAATAGGTTAGAAGTGAAAGGTAAATGTCACGTAGATATTTCAACACAAGCGAGCTCCTTCTACGTGTCGTCGCTCCGGCGTCCGCGAGACGAATGAGTTATTCGGAATGACCCTTCGGCTATTTTCGGCAGTTCACGATCGGTCGGTGGGTGAGGGTAGGTCCCCTCCCCAGTCCACCAAATCGTTTTTCAATTTATGTTTTACAGAAAACATTCTTAGATATTTCTTTCTTCTATTATTGCAAATAATTGAGATATTTTGTGTGGCTATGTTAGCTCATACACCTTGTATGCATATACTTCTGTATACACACCCTGTGTATATTTAATACACAATTTATTTACGTACATAAATAATGAAGTCCTTTAATTTTTACTAAAATCAATTACTGCAATTTTATTAATTCAGTTCGATAGATATAATGTACATCATGAATATATTTTTCTAAAACACCGGTTTTTGAATATTTTATTTCAAAGTTGCGCGAAACGATTTAACGTTCAATTCAAAACAATAGCGCGAAAACATGTATCCGTTGCTTTTCAATTATTTTGAATTATTGGTGAATGAATAGTTGTAGGTAAATTGAAATTTATAATTATTTCGACGTTATATACTATAAAATTTGTGGTTTATAAACTTTTAAATCTGTATCATAAGGATTGTTTAAAAAGTACAAAGATTCTATATTTCACAATAATTTTTCGTTTAGAAAATTATTTGAACATTATTTACAATAAAGTATTACAAAATAAATTATAATAAAATTCTACCTAGAAAAGTATTTGACGTCAAAATTATCAATCAAATTGCTAATAACAATTATTATTCACACCCGCCTACAAATGGTGTTTCATTATTGTTTATTAATATTGTTCGTCATTGTTGTTCATTATTACAATTAATACTACAATATATGACTGTACTGTCAATCTTCTGGTGCGTTCTCCAAACTTTTTTAAATTCCATCGTATGATCTTGTCGTCATTCGCAGTGATGTTACTTCGTCCTGAAATTTAAATAATTTTCATTTCAATTTCGAATGTTTTTTAACGAAAAATCGCCTCAATTTAGTAGTTTTTCGCACTTTGTTGCAAGCAAACCATAGTCGTGTTAAATAATGATTCGTTGTGACATATTAATTGTTAATTATAAGCTTCATTTTAAGGCTACTTTTATTTGTGCAATTTTGAAAGGCAAAGACGGACAGAAATTAAATGGAAAGCATGGAAATTTTTATTTGTCAGCAGAAGCAAGCGTATGTTTTAATTTTACTGACCACACAGCGAATTTGGCGTTATTCAATGGAACGAACTATATATGCATACAACCACAAATGATTCTTACCGCTCTGTATATAAGATTTGGGATCATTTATCAAACTTTACTAAAATCATGTCTTGTTACTTTTTAACGTCCGTTAATGAATGTAATTATTTTGTTTTGCTTAAATTTATTCATTTACCATGGAAATCACCAATTTTATTATATAAAAAACTGATTCCAAATTTTTAATCGGAAGTGTACGTGTACAAAGGATAAGCGCACACAAATCGAATATTTTTGTAACTGATGGGAATAAGAGGAAAAATCTTCAGATAAAAGTTATCTAGTTAGAAAGGGTCCCACTATACGATCGTAACAATCTTCGTGCAGAATAAATTTTCTTTTCTTTTTTTTGGTAATTCGGTACATTTTTCTCCTACTCACCGTGGTTCTGAGGATATTTAAGACGGCAGTTGTTATTGATAGACTCTGTATACAAGGACGACAAGTACATTACTGACTTACAAAATTCTACATTCAAATTCAACAAAGTATAAATTAATAAAACGTTACTTAAAATATTATAGAAACAATAAAAAATATTACTGGCTGTATGCACCATTCAACATAATTGTAAAATCCTGCCACTTTTAATCGGAACATTGGGATTACTTTGGGTTCACTGTCTCTGAATCAATTTTTAGTCGCAATAAATAATAATAGTATTCTTAAATAATAGTCTTGTTATTATAAAATTAAAATAATCCTGATGAGATTATCTTCATTTCATAATAACAGCATAAAAATAATTAAAATACACTTTAAAAATATTATAAAATTATTGAAATAATTTTTACGACGCAATTGAAAAAAATAGTATTCTACATTTAATTGTTCTTTAGTTACTTATTTCAATATTAGTATAATTATTTCTTCCAAATACTTAGTTACTTTTTTAATTAGTTACTACAAATGATTACTGGACTTACAATTAGTTACGTAAAACGCATAGTTATTTCTTAATTATTTCATTCAAGTGTTCAATTCCTTTTCATTTTCATTCTAAAATAATTCATCTATACATGAGAGTATTAATGTTTTAGTAATTTACGACATTTTGGACGTGCAGTAGTTTCATTTCAAGAATTCAAATGCAAAACAATTCCAAGTACTATAAGATTAATCTTCGTGTCGCGTAATATTCCCGGTAAAAATTAATACTGTTATCAACGTTCCTACTTACATCAGATAACAAACGTTCCATTTATAACTGGAGATCAATCATTGTTATTGATGGTAAGAGGAATTGATTTTATCGAATGCTTCCTCCTTCTGAACGCACAATGGCGCTACCATCGAGATTATTTCTGGAACGCCATTACTTTGTCTCGGGTATTATGTACATTTAAATAATTTTTCAAAGAAAAACGTATTTGTTATTTGGTGGTAAAAAATGTCCAAATTTATAGCCCCTCTGACAACTTATTTTGCATAAATATAAGTTATAGTAAAATAAAAAGAATACATTTTTGGTTCAGTTCAATTCTTAATTGCTGATAAAAATGAGCAATTCCGTTTAGGAACTCTTTTTATAGGCAAAAATTGACCAGTGACATCGTCTTAAGCGAAAATTTGCATTAGAGAAGTTGACAATCGTATTGGTAAATAATTGCATGCATCTTGTATCATAGGAATCTAATATGGAACTTCGAATTTTAAGGAAAAGATTAAAATAAAAACCTGTCATTTTAAAATTTGATAAAAGGATCTGGAAATGCTCTATATAAAAAATAATTTAATAGTTGACGGTTAGCAAGAAAAAAAACAATTACATACTGAATAATTAAAATTAGTTAAGTAATGGAAGAGATTATTCGGTCGTTTAGGAGACTGAAAATTCTTTGATTCTCAAATTGATGTCTCTTAAATTTAAGACACTGACTGGGTCCAATAATTTTCATATTAGTATTACTTCCATAAGTATTAGTATACATATGTTAATAATAACATTAATAACTTTTTGCTGTGTTAGCAAAACACAAGTACATACACATAAAGTACCGATCACTTTTTCTTCTCGAAACCAATATTTCTTTAGAAAGAAATGTTATGTAGTCCACGAAAAATTAGGAAAGATTTAAATTACCATTTTGACTGTTTCGAATTTGTATATATATATATACATTCTTATATATATATATATATATTCTTATATATGTATATATATATATACATATATAAGAATATTAGATATCAAAATATTTGATTTCTTCCTATTTTTACGAAAACACGGCATAAAACTAAATTTCTATTTTTGAAATTGTTAGTCATATGGTCTACGTGTTTTTCCTTCTTCAATTACAAAGATTGACCATTCTAGATAGAATTTTCAATTCTCCGGAAAATTATTTTTATAATGTAATTCTTCAAAAATTACAACAATTATAAAGTTATTAGTACATCACTGTACAAGAAACGATATATAAAGGGTGTTCCAGGTACACGCTTCAATATTTTGAGTGGTGATAGAGGAGCACAGATGTCAAAAACTCAAAAAAGCTAAAAATATCAATAACGTAAAAATGTTAAATAGAACGAAAAATGTCTGTCACCATTTTTCCGTAATGAAGCCTTAATGTTTTAAAACATTTTCAACTGTTCATACAATAATAACAATCATGGAGTTTTGTAATTTCACAAACTCATCAATTAATAAAAATAGAATTAAAAAAGTCTTAACACATTTTGTTATATCTTCTATAGTTCAGTTGTTATAAAATTTGAATAAAATTTGATGTGTTTGTAGAAATAAGGTATGCTGTATAAAACGATGCAATTAAATTGATAATTAATAAAAATAGGGGGGGGCGTGTTTTTGTTTAAACAAAGAATTTTTATGAATTTAATTGCGTCGTTTTATAGAGCATAAGAAACCATTAAATTTTTATTATAACCATTTTTTTATATCTAGGATAGCTTTAAAGATATACAGGGAAATCTGAACACATCTATCTACTTTCAAGGGATGTTTTCACCCTGAAGAACTGAAATTGGGCCAAAAACAAAAACTGCGCTATACTTCTCTTGAGGTCCCTTACAAACCTGCAAGTTTAAAAAAAGTCGGAATTTTCGGATTACCGAACTTCCGGTAGAAACATTGACACATACATTATTGAAACATATACCTTGGACACCCTGTACACACTTACATGCTGTCCCGAATCTAACCCAAACTTGGACTTACACGGATATAAAAAATACAAAGTACATACGTCACGATTGTTTTTTAATCATTGTTATCGCATCGGAGATCGGTAACCCCCTTTTTACGACCCTCTTCGAAGAGGAACCGCAAGATTTCGCCTAGAAGAAAAATCAGCGTCTTAAAAAGCAGTTTTCTTCCATCATCGTTTTGGGAATGATGATGACGAACGTGAGCCTTCCACCAATGATGAAGAATATTAACAAAGGTGATTAAATCTGATAAAATTGAATGCTTTTTATTTACAAAAAAAGCTGTTGGAGTTATAATTATTACATTATTTATTAAACTCCAATTACTAATGTTCAAATTATTCCCATTTTTAGCTCTTTGGCTACGGAGCAGCTGGTCCAAAAGTACTTCAGCAATTTTCTAAGTATTGTATTCTAGGCATTGTTTCGTGGATAATATTAGAATGTAATACGTTGTACAGTAAATCCTCGATGAGTGTTCGTAGGCTCCTGATAAGAAGAGGTCCCTAGGTGTAACGCTGATTTTTTGAGGAGGTTTAGCACGACGATACAGCTTAGAATTCTGAAGCCAATGGGATTTGTTCCAGTCAGATACGTCTATTAGTTTATAAAAAATCCTCATCGAGGATTTATTGTAGGTGGAACTTTCATTTTGCCCATTCCGTTTGCTTGGATTTTGTGTGTTTTTCTGGGTTATAATTGTATTTGTTGAAGAAAAGGAGGACCCTAGGCTTAATTAAAGGCCATGGATCAAACTTTAGGTTCTATTTAAATTGTTTGTACCCACCAAGCGATTATTACCGACCGTGTAGTTTGGTCTGTGAAGTCTAGACCACACCCGACGATGACGGCCGATGCGCAACACAACTTATTGTTAGGTTATCTCGAGCAATTTTCATAATGGAGCTCCGCTGGTACCAAACTGTAGGGTTCTCCGATAACCGCTTGGCAGAAACTAAACGAGGGGGGAGATTGATGGAACTTGGACTCCATCCATCTCTTCCGGTTAATATTCTTCATATCTCGATTGGAAGACCGGTACAAGACATATGGACATTTGCTTTCATCGTGTTTTTTTTCAGCTTGCCTGCCTCTGTCTTCTTTTACTGCCATAAATCCAAAGACATTGATTGCTTAGCTTAGGTTAGGTCTAACTCTAATTCTATTTAAGCTCAAGAACCAAGGAACCAAAATAGTACATGACGTTTTGAAGACATCCATTTTACAGCTATTTTAGGTCTGACCGACTGACTGTCCTGATTAGTAACAAAGATGTCTTTAAGACGCCTTTTTACCTTTGTACGGCTTCTTTAAGACGTCATTAGACGTCTCTTAGACATCTAAAGGCACCTTTAAGACATTGGTATAGACCTGTTTAAGGCGCATTTGTAAATATGTTATGTACAAATATACATACATATATGTGCCTGTATAACAAACAAGTAATATAACATAAGTATTGTGTAAATATAGCTCTTCAATATTTGTAAACACACTGTGCATGATATA